ACCAGACCAAGCCAGGGCACCAGACCAAACCAGACCAAGCCAGGGCACCAGGCCAAACCAGACCAAGCCAGGGCACCAGACCAAACCAGACCAAGCCAGGGTACCAGACCAAGCCAGGGCACCAGACCAAGCCAGGGCACCAGGCCAAGCCAGGGCACCAGACCAAACCAGACCAAGCCAGGGCACCAGACCAAACCAGACCAAGCCAGGGCACCAGACCAAGCCAGGGCACCAGACCAAGCCAGGGCACCAGGCCAAACCAGACCAAGCCAGGGCACCAGGCCAAGCCCAGCATCCAATGCCTGAAACTCACCTAGTGGTCTCTGGAAGCTCCATAAAAGTATCGGATTCACTTCTCCTTCTATAGGACATAAATCAGCTTTATTCATGGAAAGCCGTCTTCCCGATCTCACCGTATAGAGGACCTCAGACATTGCAGAACAATATCCCCAACAGACCAATCCCGGCCTCAGGCTGCAACCCATCACCGATGTACCATAGAGTCCCCGACCTCTGCGCGACACTCTCTGCAGTACATCACTGATCCAGACAAGACCGGCTTTACTGATCCAGACAAGCACGCAAGAGTCCCTGTTCCCTTGGATTTCCCTATGGACCTCTTCATGGGACCTTCTCCAAGGACCTCCTCCTGAGACCTTCCCCACAGACCTTTCCCACAGACCTCCCTCTGTGACCTTCCCCACAGACCTCCCCCTAGGACCTTCCCCACGGACCTCCTCCTGAGACCTTCCCCACAGACCTCCCTCTGTGACCTTTCCCACAGACCTCCCTCTGTGACCTTCCCCAAGGTCCTGCTCCTGAGACCTTCTCCACAGACCTCCTCCTGAGACCTTCCCCACAGACCTCCCCCTAGGACCTTCCCCACAGACCTTTCCCACAGACCTCCCTCTGTGACCTTCCCCACGGACCTCCTCCTGAGACCTTCTCCACAGACCTCCTCCTGAGACCTTTCCCACAGACCTCCCTCTGTGACCTTCCCCACGGACCTCCTCCTGAGACCTCCCCCACAGACCTCCCCCTAGGACCTTCCCCACGGACCTCCTCCTGAGACCTTCCCCACAGACCTCCTGAGACCTCCTCCACGGACCTTTCCCACAGACCTCCCTCTGTGACCTTCCCCACGGACCTCCCCCTAGGACCTTCCCCACAGACCTCCCCCTAGGACCTTCCCCACAGACCTCCCTCTGTGACCTTCCCTACAGACCTTATCCTGAGACCTTCCCTGCAGACCTCCCCCTAGGACCTCCCCCTAGGACCTTCCCCACGGACCTCCTCCTGAGACCTTCCCCACAGACCTCCTGAGACCTCCTCCACGGACCTTCCCCACGGACCTCCCCCTAGGACCTTCCCCACGGACCTCCCCCTAGGACCTTCCCCACAGACCTCCCCCTAGGACCTTCCCCACAGACCTCCCACAAGGACCTTCCCCACAGACCTTATCCTGAGACCTTCCCTGCAGACCTTCCCCATGGACCTCCTCCTGAGACCTTCCCCACAGACCTCCCCCTAGGACCTTCCCCACAGACCTCCTCCTGAGACCTTCTCCTGAGACCTCCCCCTAGGACCTTCCCCACAGACCTTTCCCACAGATCTACCTCTGTGACCTTCCCCACGGACCTCCTCCTGTGACCTTCCCCACAGACATCCCTCTGGGACCTCCCCCTAGGACCTTCCCCACAGACCTCCCTCTGGGACCTTCCCCACGGACCTCCACCTGGGACCTTCCCTGCAGACCTTCCCCATGGACCTCCTCCTGAGCCCCTCCCCCCGGACCTC